AGAAGGTTAATGAGTTTATTAGATTAAAAAGAAGCCAAACAATAGAAGAAAAGAAAAAAAGAAAAGAGGTGGAAAACAAAGAAATACAGGAAACATGGTTTGGCTCAATTACAAAATTTATAGATAGTAGAAAAAGTTCATTTACATATGGCCTTTCTGGATAGTTTGGTATAGCTCCCGGATCTGGGTACAACCCCAACCAGTACAGCAGACTGCCTCTGGGCACTCAAAGAAGTAGCTGGAAGATGTCGAACCAATATCTTAAGTTAAAAATGTATGTAATTTATATACAAGAATCTTAATAAAGGTTTATAGCAAGGCTGCCAAAGGAAAAAAAATATAACTATTAACTGATAGATATTTTACTTTTAAATTTTCTTATTGTTTTTCAAACACATTTAAAACTAATATATTCTTATACTTAAAAAATATATTATAAAAATCTTAAAATCTGTTAAGCTTAGCTTATTTTTAAAATTTTTTTTTAAATTAAGATCAATGTAAGATATATATAAACAATAAATTGAATCTGAAAATTTAAGTTTATTGTACTAATTATTACTGAATCTGAATTAGTAAATATGACTTTTGGTATTTGACTTTTTATACACTTTTTAATCATTTTTAACTTTTATATAAATTTACTTTTTGTCTTATTTTTAAGTAATGCAGTTGTAACAAGTTATGTTTGGTTACAATTGTTAATAACAACATAAAAATAGGCTATCTTGTTATATTTATTAGTATAAAATGTTGTATTATAAAAAAGAATATCATGATAATGAGTCTACAAAATTTGCTGTTCAGATAACAACTATACTAATCTATACAATTAACAGTTATTTTTTTTAAACCTTGTCTTTACAAACTAACAAATATCTTCAGCTTGTCTTAAATATAGGTAATTTATAAGATCTGAGGCATTATATTCAACTTGTGTTACTAATTTTTTTTGACTGCTTGAATTGCATTATAAAGTGCTTTTTAATAAATCTTTCTTTTTAGAAACTTTCTTTTTAAAAAACATTTAATATTTTGAATACTAGTTATATTATAATGCACACAGAACTTAATAAACTTAACTATTTTATTACTAAGCTTATAATATTTTGCTATATTAGTTGTAGATAAAAGGATTTTAGAATAATTATATTTATTTATGATAGTAGTAAAATAAATTATTGATATACTCTTTAAAAGGTTTCTATTAACCTTTTATCAACATTCTGTTGCCTTTAATTTTAATTCTTCTAATTATTTGAATTCAATACTTTTTTGCCTAATACTTATCAGTGTAACTATACTTTCAACTAACCCTAGTTAAAATTTGATTATTATTTTCTATTTGAGTTTTAGTTTATTTTTTCTAAATACTAAAACTCTTTTCTAACCTATATGCATTTAGAAAATTTTTAGCATCATCTCAAATATGAAAAGACTGCTCTAAAATATTTAAAAGAATGCCAAATTATTTAGCTAAAGTGTCTTATTTAAAGTTTCAACATTACTTAAATATATTAGGTATCAAATTATAATATGCATCTGGTTAAAATAATATAATTCTACTAAAGTTTACTTTTATTCTAATATAGGTTTTTATTCTAGCTTTAATAAAACTTAGTATTTAAATTTTATTTTAATACAAATTTTAATTTGATATACAAAAAATATAAAGGCTTATCTAAGGTTATTTCAAGTGAAGAAATATTAGATTCTTTAAATAAAGATTTTGTATAATATATAAAGTCATAACTAATATTATCTTTATTAAGTGACTTGTTTGACTTTTTATTTATTGCTTCATTATATAACTTGTTTGACTTTTCATAAGTTGTAGTGTCAACAAGTTTAATATTATCATATGATTTTATAATTAAAGCTTTTGTATTTGATATTCTCATAGTTGATAATTAAATTGTTGTTTGTATTGTCTATATATTCTGAGAATGATTAATAGTAAAAAAGATTATTAAAAATTAAGTTAACTAATATATGAACTATAAACATATTAGAGCTTGTTTGTTACTGTCTGTTTTTTACTTTTATATTTACTTTAATACACTTGTGTTACTAACATTAATAATTAAATAATATTCCAAATATTTAACAAAATTATAACTATTTAATAATATTAAATCAGTTGACAAAAAGAAATTCATTTTTGTACTAATTGAACTCTTATTTATTTATTTAATATAAATCTTCAATTACCTATATCTGTCAAAATAACCTCACATTTATGGAGTACATATAAAAATTATCAATGTGTAATATTTTCATATAATTACTAATGATTTTATCTCCAGTAATTGTAGTTATTTTTCTATAATTATTATAAAATTTTTTGATTAAAAAAAAGATAAATAAACAATTACTTAATATTAATATCTATTTAAGAGTAAATATATTAACTAAAAATTTATTTATATCAAAGATTTTCTTATAAAATTAATTTTTAAAATAACTAATTTAGGTTCAATATTAAAAGATATTAAGCTAAATTCACATACTTTTATACTAAGACATAAGTGATAAGTTTTTTTAATAAATATATTTAAAAATAAACATTTCTGAATTAATTAAATATTTTTAGAATTTTTATAAGCATATTGAAAATTAGAAATTTCAGATACTTTTTTAGCATTATCTGGTTTTTAATCAGAAATATTATAAATATTAGCAACACTTGTTAAAAAAGTTTTAGAATATTCTTGAAACTTAAAATAATATTCAACTTAATCAATAGTTAAATCATGATCAAATTAGACAAACATTAGTAAATATTATATAATTAAAATAACTGTAATTAGTTATTATGTACATATAAATTATATGTATATATTAATATTATTAAATAATTTTTCTTATAGTTATATTCATTTTTAAACCTATTTTTAAGTATATTATCAAATAAATAAAATTCTTTTAATATAATATAAACTTATTATTTTATAATATTAATTTATCAATTATGATTATTATTAAAATAAAAATTACTGATACTTGCTTATCATCTGTATTAGAAAACACCATTACTTCAGGTTGCTTTAAAATATTGTTATTTTTTGAACTTGTATCAAATATATTGACATAAGTATCAATATTAATATTTAATTTTGAATCCATTATTTCTTTAGATAAAAAGGTTTAGATTTGTACTTAACATTTTCTTATATCAATTATATTACATCATAATTATCCAATAAGTATTTATTAGTTACATAACATAACATGTATAAATATATGCAGTAATACATAGTACACATTACTAATTATCAGTGTACAGATCATACAAGGGTAGATCATATGGTACCAACCAAACCACTGTTCTATACTGAATTTATATACTTCCTGTTTCATCCTCATTAGACCAAATTAAAAATTTTTTATAAGGAAGATCAAATCTAATTTATGTAGTTATGTTTCTTATAATTTCGTCTATTCAAAAAAAAAATCAAAAAATTTCATCTTTTTAGTAAAGATAGGTCAAACCAATTTTGGTTCCAAATTTAATTTACGGTTTCGTCTTCCCAAAATAATTTTGTCCTCATTTATAACTGTACGTACTGTACACTAAAAAAAAATCTGCTATCATAAAAATGGCACATCACTACTCATACTCCTTACTCTGACAAGAATCACTTACCACGAAGAACTAATAACCATAATATTACATCACGAAAAAACCTGCTTATAACTAACGAACTATCAACTATTATAGTAAATCATTCGATATGAAATACCCCAACTACTGAACAAATATGAAGATGCACACTCTAATTTAAATTAATCATCAAAAATTGAACTGAATAGTACATTTACATTAAGTAATCATGAACAACTTATAGAATAATGAACAAATACGAAGAAGCACCAGCAGATTTATTTAAATAAATCAACAGAAATTAAACTAAAAAAATAAATTTCATTAAGCAATCGTCGAGCAACTTATTATGTGATGAATAATTATTTTCAATCGATTTCAGATTAAACCGATAATTGAAGCTTGATCCAAACAATAGATTCATATTAAACTAAGAGGATTATCTTATACAGAAGCACCTTCTTATTTGAACAGATCATTAAACATCAAATTAAACGAAAAAATCACGCTAAATTATCATGGTGTATGACAAATAGATATAGTAAACCGTTTTAACAGCAACTTGTTCAAACATACTGTACGATTTAATAAAAAGATTAGAAGAGATTTATATTTATTATTAAAAACAATATAATGCATATACACGCACTAATTTTATTTAAATGCATTTCCTTTATATGAAAAATATATCAAAAATTCTATATACTGTAGATTCAAAAATTCTGCAAAATAAAATGAGGTTAACTCAAGGAAAAATTTTGCAAAAAACTGAATTCTAAAACATGTTTGATATTACAAAGATCCATGTATAGTTACTCAGAATAACATTGAGAATGAATAAATATATAACTTTAAATGATCATTGCATGTGTGATTTATGTACAATTATAGTTGGCGGTGGAATTATTGAATTACGGCATTACGGCATTTTACCATATAGTAGAATTAATTACGGCATAGTACGTATCTAATTGTCGTAAATATTATGCGTTGTAATTAGAGTTGGGTTCCGAAACCCTAAACTACAGGTTTAAGTTAGAGCCCTAAACCCTAAACTATATCCTAAACTCTAACCCAAACCCGCAGTTTAGGGTTTCGGTACCCAACCCTAGTTGTAATGCTGTAACATTACTGCATTACGGCTCAAAAAATTATGGCAAATTACCAAATTAATTCTACCACCAACTATATGTGCAATAACAGACTTTTGGCATATTTCCAATTGTATGAATACATATTGCTAAAATAAATCACTTATTTTCCATTGCGAAAAACTAAGGGATAATCAAATTCAAGAAAACTAACATGTACTTTTTAATGTACTGCAACAATGCTAAATTAATTCATCAATATTTTTATTGATCATTATTATTAATTCTTTAAACTATCCATTATATTATATTCTAAATGCACGAAAAATTTCATCTCGAACAAAAGAGAAATCCAGTTCAATTGGATCAGGAAGAATATCTCGTGGAACTTGTATACCAGGGTATAATTGATGGTAAAGACAATCCAAATTAATCTTAATGAGACATATGCCTCGTGAAATGTTCAACGGATTCCCGGGTGCCAAACTCGAACTAATAATGATAAACTATCCATATTAAAAATTTCGAAAAATCAATAAAAAAAGATATTTTTATTTACATAAAATTACATGAGTTCGATGATGAAGTTCTCCTCTTGTCCTTCTGTCCGCAGAGCAAAAGTGCCATGCCTACATAGGCTTTTTCTTCAGAATGATATACAAAACATAAAATATCTCTTTAATATATAACTTACTTGCATGCGTGAAGGTGTTTCGCCCTCAGGAACAGGATCAACTTTAACAACTATCGCATCATGTGCACGACTAAGATCCTTTAACCAATAATTTTTCACCTTTTCGAAGACATGATCTATACTTTCGGAATATGCGACTTCTACAATAATATTCGGCCACGGTTCATTCTAAAATCATGAAAATGTAAAGATTCCAATGTTGAAAAGTTCAAAGTCAATAAAAGGAACAAAAAAAAAAAAAACCATTCCATCACTTCCGGTTGATTCAGGCACTCGTTGTTTCATTGGACGAAATGATGCGTCTGCCTCTTTTCCAGAGTTATCAGCTCGAATTCCTTTAAAAGAAGGAAATTAATTTGATACCATGCACAGGATTGAGATAGTTAATTAACTGATGCTTACGAGTTGCTCCTATATTTAAAATACTGGCATCGGTATCATCAACCCCACTACAATGTCTATTAAAATACTTAATAATTGTGCCAATACAAACTTCGTGTGGCTTTAGTGGAAGTTCATAAACTAAGACTCTAAAATTTTCCCATTCCCATAGACCATGAACATTAAAACTGTCAGCACGATGTTCATACTCATCCAAAGCTACACCCTCAGCAAGCACGTATGGAAGTCTTGTTGTAATCAAAAAAAATTAGTCTTGATCATATATAAATGACCTACCACGAAACAACTTACGTAGCTTCCTCCCATTTTGCTTCCGGGTGAATATTTCCTTCTATCCACCATAAGCTTCGAAAATAAATAAAATCTGGCATTTGTTTTGGATAATAATCGGAAGGTTAGACAAAAAATATTTCTGGCCTAAAACTACACCACGATCATATAACTTTGTTTAGGGCAAAAACAATTCTTATGAGCAAAATTGCCTCTTTGACATTTTTAAATAGTGCTCCAAAATTGCTATTTTTTTGTATTTTTTACATTTTTCACCTTTTCACTTCCTTTTTTTGGGGATCGTCTAAAGCGGATTTCCACGTTACACCCGTTCCTTCAATCTAATTGGCTATGATCACGTGCCGAAAATTTTTGTGGGTAAGCTTCGGGTATGGATGGGCAAAGTAATTTTGTAAGTTTGACTTATTCCTTACTTAATATTAAATAATATTAAATATTTATTACATTGTTACGGGTAATATGGACGAGTTCAGAGATGGGACAAAAGCGACGAATTGTCGCTAGAAAAAGGATTATGCCGCGTAACGTTCCTCAAAGATAATAGAGGCGGTTTTACGATTTGG